CGCCCTGAGCTCCCTGCCACAACAGCAGCCCGTGAACACGTGCCGGAGCTTCCCCGAGTGAGGCTAGCACTCCTCTCACGTGTGCAGGTGAGAGGACGGCGGGAGGGTGAGGCCCAGCAGGTGCCCTGCCCTCTGAGGTGACGAGCAGAGAGCAGCAGACCTGCTAGCACCCCTGTGAGGCGGCCTTGGGTGCCCCCGGGCAAAGGCTAGGCCAAGCAGCACTGCGGGCCCATAGAGGAAGGGGACATGGCTGGGGCACAAGGGGGACTCCTCAGAGAGCTCCTGCCCGTGTCCCTACAGAGCGCTCCCGATGCTGAGGCCCAGCCCATAGGGAGTACTGCAGCCCTGAGGGGTGGCAGGTCGGTGTCCTCCAGCCCCACCACCCTCGTCAAAGGGCACGAAGTCCCACGGGGGGCTCACCCATCCAGCCTGCCTGTGGCCGGAGTGGTTTGGGGTGTTCCCTGGAGGAACTGAGAGGCCATCAAGCCCATCCCCCGATGTCTTGCCTGAGCTGTGGGTTCTATTTTTAAAAGTCCCTTCAGCTACAGGCTCCGGGATGTCCAGCACACCCCTCCCTGCGACGAGGACATTCCCCCTGCTGTCTAGCTCGAGGCCTCTGCGCTGCCATTTAAGCCCCTGGCTGGCCGGGCAGGTGCACGGAGCCTGGGTGAGGTCATTGCTATCCTGAGCCCCAAGGCTGGTTTGCATTGGGGACACCAGGGAGCACCCAGGGGGGCTGCCGGCGCTGGGGCTCAGCCTGGCAGGCCAGCGGAGCCTGAGAGTGAGCAGAGACCCCTCACAAAGGGAGAACTGCCATGAGGTGGGGTGGCCTGCAGGGCCCGGGGACAACCTGGGCTCAGATGACGTGTCCCCACGTCATCGAGTGAGGGGTGCCAACTCTGCTGGCCCCCGGGGGAGGGGAGGAGGAGGGGAGGGCCAGGTCAGCCCCTCCACCAGGAGACTGGCTCCATGGCTGTTACAAGGCTCCCAGAGCACCTCTGAGTGGGATTTCTCTTTCTCGGGGAGCCCCAAATTCCCCTACGCTCCAAAACCAAGGCTGCTCTTCCATGGGGGCTCAGCCCTGGCCCTGCCAAGCACCCCTGGGGCTCCCTGACTGCCTACAGTGTGGCTGTCCAGCCCTGCCCCGGCCCAAGGCAAGGCTGGTTCCCTGGAGCGGAAATTGTCTCCTCATCCCCTGGGGGTAGCAGCCGGACACCCCTGGCCAGGGACAGCCTGGGTGCCTCACCCTGACCCAACCTTATGCCCAATCACACAGTCCCGGGCCCGGCCCAGGCAGGGTGGTCCCTTATTCCAGATGCCTCACAGCCCCCCAGCCCTGGGGCCTTCATCCCAGCCCTGCAGTGACTTGAGGGGAGTCTCTTAACTGGGAAGTGCCGACTGAGCGCCTGGTCTGTTCTAGGTCTGGGCTTGGCTGCCTTGGTTTCAGGGCAGTCCCTGCTTCCAGGGAGCCTCCTCCAGGGCACGTCTGGCTTCTTGCCTCTGGACTGCGGTGTCTCTGGCCAGGCGTTACGCAGACCACCCCCGCGGCCGTGCCACTCACATCAGGCATGCAGATCCCAAGCAGACCCTGTGGACACAAGGCCCACTTCCCTGCAGACCTGGGGGTGGGTTAGGCAGCCACAGTGAATGAGGGGAGCTCGGCCGTGGGGGAGGCGGGCACGGTCCCACAGCCAGCCTATATCTCCAGCAGGCCCGGGACTAGGGCCAGGGCTGGGCTCTGGGCCCTGGGATCTGGGGCCTGGGATGGAGAAGGTGCTGGAGCCCCGTAACCGTCCAGCCCGTCCCCACTGCCTGACAACGGGGCAGCCAGAGTGGGGAGGTGTCTGCCTGTCCATCTCTCTGCCCACCTGTGGCCCCCCTCTCTGTGCTAGGGACACTCTCCCTGAAGTGCTGCCCATTCCAGGGACAGCACCTGCTAGGGCATCCCCAGCCGCCTGCCTCAGAAGGGCTTGGAAGGCAGCGTCCTCTCGGTCCCCAGCCACCAGAACGACCACATACAGCACTTCCTTCTCTGCTCCAAGTGCCCGCCACTGGCTGGATGGCTGTATTCACGCAAGGCTGGTTGGCTTGATGGGCAAGCAACTCTGGCCAGGCCTGGAGAGCCAGCCCAGCCCAGGCCCGGTCTGATGGTGGACACGGTCTGCTCTCAGGGCCTGGAGGAGGACGGAGGGGCATGCGCACTCCCTGCCTGAGCACGCCCTGGCCCTTGGGTACCAGGCTGCAGGCAGCGTGCACTCACCCGGGAGATGGTGAGGGGCATGTTGAAGTCCTTGCCTCCCTGCAGACGGAAGCCCCAGGGCCCAGGCCCGGTCAGGGTCACGCTGTAGGACATGCTGGCTCAGACGGCGGCCGCTTCTGTGAACAAAGGGTAGAGAGTTGAGGGAGAGGGCACGCAGCGGCCGCCTCCCCGGCCCACGCCTCCGCGGCCTCCCACCGGCCTTGCCTGCTCCCTGTCGCTGTGGCCAGGCTGTGCGGAGCTCCTGAGCGGCTCCTAAGAATAGCAGGGAGCGAATGCCATGGACACATATCTGCCCTCCGCTCGCCCATAAATGGACTGTAATCCTACACTGCGCCCGCCCGCCGGGGCCTCCGCTGGCCACTGTGACTCACAGGGCTAATATAGCCCCTGGGGGGCACCCAGCACCCCGGGGGCAGGAAGGGGGACTGTCCAGGTTCATGAAAATGCTCTCACCTGCTGGCCCCCCCTGGAACGCAGACCTCTGCTCACTGGCGCTCTCTGCTCAGAGGTCCCCACCCCTCACCCAGGACCAGTGTGCCAAAGCTCCCCTGGGGGTTCGCAGCTCTGGCTGCTGCTGCTCTCTGCTCCCTGCCGAGGACTCAGACTCGTGGGGTGCTGAGCCGAGCCTCCAGCTGGTCTGCAGAAAGCTTGAGCTCAAACCAGTGACTGCCCCAGGGCATCCTGCCGGCCAGGCTGGCCGTGGGCAGGGCCAAGATTGGCCCCAGGGCCCTTCACACCTTTCTCCCCGCAGGTCCTGGGAATCCTGGGAGGCCACCTCCTTGGCCAGCAGGAGCCTGACTCCAAGAGGGTAAAAGATTTCTCCAAGGTCACATAGGGAGTAGCCCCGGGCCACACTGGAACCCAGGCTTATTCCTGGGGGACTCACACCAGATAACAACACCAGTGGCTGGGCGCTTCCCAAAGCCCTGGCCTGCAGAAGGGGGCCGGGCCCCTGCCTGCACCCCACAGCACAGGATCCGGGGTGGGTCTGGGGTAGGCCCACCCCCTGCAGACCTCCTGGGGTCCAGCAGTTATTCCTGGCTCTCCTGTCTCACTTGTGCTGTGGAAAACCTGACAGTGGCATGGAACGCTCTGGTTGCCAGCGACTCACGCCAGGCCCGGTGCCCTTTGCATAGGAATGACAGGGGCAGGAAGGGGGGAGGAGGTGCCGTCTGCTCAGCTGCTGGACACAGAGCCAGAGCAGGGGCAGGGTGGGGGGAGGCGGTGCCCTCTGCTCAGCTGCTGGACACAGAGCCAGAGCCGCAGAGAAGGGCGAGTGTGCGTGCCATGTTCAGCCCATATCCCAGAGACAGTGTGTTCTGGGGAGGCCGTGGCCCCTCAGCACTCCTGTCAGTGCAGCCTTTGGGCCAAGGTGCCCCTAAAAGCCCTTCCCCCAGACTGGGAAACCAAGGCCCAGGGACGGTGACCAGGTCAGCTGCTTGCTGGGTTCTCTCAGAGGACGCAGACCTGGGCTATGCCCTGAGGACTGAGGGCAGGTCTGGGTGTGGGTGACCTCCCAGCTGCCAGCTCCCAACCTCATACTTTGGGCCGGGCCCACACGGGGACATCCTACATCCTGAGGTCCAGGTAGGGCGCCCACAGTACACAGTGTTCGGTAAGTTGCCCAAAGTCACAACAAATACTATGTCAAGTGGGAGAAGCCCAGGAGGGACCTGTGCTCTGTCCCCCCATGTCACCACCTCCTCTTCCCTGGACCATGCAGCCTGGCTGGTCCATGCCACAGTCCACAGCAGCCCAGAGCCCTTCCCCGTGTCCCCCCACTCCCTGCACCATCCACCCCTAACTCCGCCTCATTCCCGGCCTAGGGCTGTGAGGAGGACCCAGAAGCAGGCCCCAGCAGGGGGAGAGGGCGCCCACTCTGTACCTGGAGCGGAAGGCTCTTTCTCTGGACCCTGGTGCTCACCTCTGGGGAAAGGGAGGGCTGGTGGGAGGATGCTCTTAAAGGGGAAGGCCAACCTCCCTTCATCTGCCTCCCCGGGGAGACTGGAGCCAGCCTGAGCAGCTGGTACCCACAGCGGGGCGGAGCCCAGTGGCTCCCTGGGGAGCGGGTTGGAACCAGCCTGGCCTGGGCCCTTTCTCCACTCTGCCTTCTGCAGTTTGGGGTGTGTCTCCAGGAGTGGGAGTCCCAGGAGGGGCGGAGGGAGGCTGCTGGAGCCACTGGGGGCGTGCCCTGCTCCCCTCCCCTACCACAGCACCCACAGGCAATTTCATGTTTGTCCAAGGAGAGCTTCTCTGCCTTTTATTTTCCCACACCCCTTCAGAGCCACGCCCCCGGGACGTGCTTAGACTACTGGTAAGAAGCAAGCTGCAGGTGCAGAGTACACACAGGTGCTCGGTATGCAGGCAAACAGCGACCTACGGGAAGGCGTGCCCAAGTATGCCTGTGAGCCCGTGAGTGCACAGTGGGGACGGGACACTGGGGGGAAGCGGAGGTGAGTGATGGTCCCAGTTTGGAGTGACGTCTGTGCTGGCCTCAGTTGCCGGCAGGGGAGATGCGGGACTGGCCTTCCCACACCAGTGAAGTGCCCAGCTGGGGCGCAGAGGCCAACCGAGAAGCACTGCTCGTCACGAGCCAGCGTGTGCCGTGGAGCCGTCACCGCTGTCGTCCCTGGACAATGGCAGCACACAGCACTGGATGAAGGGGGCTGAGCCAGGGCGCGGGGGCCAGGCCGAGACGGGGTGCAGGCCATGCTGCAGGTGGCAGCCCTGTGGGTGGGCAGGGGACTTGGGCTAGGGCACAGGTGACAGGGTCACATCAAAGGCCGGAGTGATTCTGGCTCTAGGCGAGGGGCAGAGGCGAGGGCCGTGAGGGGCTGGATGTGTCGCAGAAAGGGAGCCGTGATGGACATGCTACATCCTGAGGTCCAGGCTGGGGAACAGTCCCTCGGTCTGAAAACAAACAGCGTCAGTTTAGCGTCCCGCTGGGAACGTCCTGTGCAGTGGGGTCACCTGGAGTGGTGAAGGAGGCCAATGGAAGGGCTGGGTTGAGTTCTGGGTGGGGCAGGCCCACTCAGAGACCACACCTTGGGGAAGGCTCGAGCAATGTCTGCGGCCACCCACGGGCATCTCCCAGGCTGTCTGCAGTCCTTGGACAGTGATCTGGACTCGGGCTCATCTTCAACACTTGCCACCCCTCCCCCACCTTCGCTCACCCCTGCGGCCCTTAAATGAGTTGGCCCTTGCCTGCCCTGCAGCAACAGATTGCTCTGGTTCCCACCTGCAGGCTGTCCCTCCCTCTCTGTCCCCTAGGGCATGCCTAACTTCTCCCAGGGTGCCCTGCCCCAGGGTCAGATCTGGAGCGCCCTCAGGCCAGGGCCTGGCAGGCTCCCCACCACTCCCACCACATCCCCGGCTGCTCTTGCCTTTTGCACCCCAGGGGGTGCACGGGTCCCTTTGGTGCATACAGGCTGCAGGGACATCCATCCTAGGACTTGCCCAGCTCCCTCCCCTGCATGCCCTTGCATTCAAGCAGAACCCTCCCTGCTGGCTGACTGGTCCTTTCTTGCCCAGGCTGCTGGAGATCCCACCTCCACTTTTCTGGGGAGCCTGAGCCCAGCCTGGCTCTCAGCACCCTGCATGCTCGTCTCTCCACGGAGCGTCCCACTCAGGCCCAGAACCCTTCCAGGCCAAGCACCCGGTCTTTCATCATCACCTGGCCAGCCCTGGGGTGGGGCTCTGCCAGCCTCTGCCTGGGCTTCAGGATAGTGAGTGGTGCTCTTTGGGAGAATGTCTGGTGAGAGGGCAGCTCTTGACCACAGGAGCAGCCCAGGGCTCCCCTCTCCTGGACATGCAGGGGTGCAGCCTAAGGGAAGGAAAGCAGGACTATATCTTGGTCCTGGGCTGGCCAGTGAGGCTCAAGAAAGCCCAGGCGTGGACCTGGGGTGTGTGCGACTGACAGGAGGGCGGGGAGCTGCAGCTGACAGGAAAGGGCTGCCCAGGGGCGGTGGGCTCCCAAGCATTCCAGAGTAAGGCCTCTAGCTGCCACTCTGCTCCGCCGTTCACAGGCTCGGGCTGACAGCTGGCCTTCTTTTAATAGCCACAAGTATCCCGGGTGACATCCTGATCTCAGGGCACTCGCGTGTGCACACAGAGCTCACGCCCCCTCCTCTTACAGCCAACCTCAATCACACAGAGAGGTGCACACTCCCCACTCTCGGTCACACACACCGCTCAGCAGAGACACGTGGGAGCACGCTCTGTCATGTGTCCTGGGGTGTCACAGTGTCACAGTGACAGTGCACGCCGGGCATGGGCTATGCCCTGCCAGCTGCAGACCACAGACCACTGTGAACACGCCTTACACGCAGGGACTTCGAAAAGTTGGTGGGAAAATGGAAGTAAAGTTTTATTTGATGCAAAATTGAGTTTATTTTTATGCAAAATTTCTTGAACTCCATGCACAGTTGTTCAAAATACACATTTTCCAGGAACTTTCAAAGAGCCCTCAGACACACGCAGTGTGTTCCTCACGGCGCCACACAGCCAAGGGCATGATGTGCGTGTGTGCACAGTCAGGCCGCCACTCACGAGGCGCACAGTAAGGCCGCCACTCAC